AACCATGGTTGAAGATCTTGATATGTCGTTTTCGCCGCGTTTTAAAAAAGTTTGTTTGCTTATTTGTTGGGAGAATTGCTGCTGTTTTTCACTGCCAACCAGTCACAGACGATTTATCGGACTATGAGGGCCAGTCGTGCACACCGCCCTGGTTATGCGTTGAAGATCCGCCCCCGGGTAGTAATCAATTGTCGAGCAACACCCAGCACTTAATAACATAGATACACGGAGGTTTCCGTCCTCTTTATGATCATAAATTCACATCCAAACAAGGTGTTTGAAATCACAGGCAGCACATAAACTTCGATGTAAAGCAGGGAGATGATTGGAGCGATTTCCATACCGGGTGGCGGAGGAAATTGACTTACTTTAGGATATATTTTTAAACGCTCACTGACAGGAAGCTGAACGTAGACACTTCGACCCGCATATTAATGACATAGGTTATCAGCTGTGAAAAAGTGTTTATAGGGGTGATTTATCTCTCCCATACACTTAAGACCCATCTATGGGCAATGCTAGTCTGATCGGAGTACATACAAATGTCACATTCCATCGAGCCATCTACGACCCTGAAGTGATTTACACTTCTGACCTCGCAATGTCAATGGCGACATAATCAATGTTTAACGCAAGTCGCCTCAAGAGGTATCGTGCCCCTGGTTTGGCGGCAAAAGAGAAAATTGTTGAGCCGTAGGGAATTGCTTTAAAAGAGCATGAAAAAGACCTGCCTTTTATCGGTCGAGACCTGATTTACTTGACACCCGAATTGCTGCCACAAACGAGGGATCGAATGCGTATGCTGTTGCACCTCCCGGTACGAAGAACAAGATCGAGCTTTTAACAGTGGTCGACGATGAATTTCATCAAAGCGTGAAGGTGCAGAAATTTAGAGAGCGCAGAAAAATGTGACCATGAAAATTTTGATTTTTTCTACAAAAGCCACATCGCGCTCCAAGAGCTCAACGTTTCGGGCTTCTGAGAAGAAAAGTAATCCAGTTGTTAGTACCGTCGCGCCTTGATGATTGCACGGACGCGGGAAAGACCGTCCCCAGCTCTACAAGATGACACTGGTAAGCTCCGCCATCGCGTGAAAGACGCTTTCATGAAAGACATCAGATGTTAGCTACCTCAACAGAATTTATTAAAGTCGTACGTATGGCTATGGGAAAGGGCAGTTGCGCTCTGATTCAGAAGCAACAGGACTGGCGGGATAAGTACGTGGCTTCAAAGCCGCAACACGGGTTACGGGTTTAAATTGAGTCATCCCGTTTCAGTACTCTTCGTAAACGTTGGTTGTGGGCGTATACCATACACCTTACATCTTCGAGTATAGTTGTCGTCTTGCTTACATGGTGTGCAGACTTTACGTGAAAAAAGCGTCGGTCGAATACCCAATGAAGCGGAAAGTCCAAGGCTGAATCGTAACTCAGGAAAGTGTCACCACTATGCGTCAGAATGTCTTCAAATCTTAAACAGTAAGTGGATTTTGATCGTAGCGCTCGACGTAAAGCGCAATATTCGTCATACTGTGCCTGATTTTTGCTTAGTTGATTTAAGATCCGAGAAATGGATAACGCTCCGATGTCTCTAGTATGAAAAACTACGATAGATAGTAAGCATGTGAAGATCCCAGGCCAGTTAAACGGACGAAGCAGTTGTTGGCGGCCTTGGCGAAGAGAGTCGAGGTCGGAGGCGGTGGCGAGTCGGAGGCGGGGTCGAAGGGGCAGCCGAGGCGCTGCAGTCGAGGTGTTGCTGGAAGGTTGAGTTGGGCAGAAGAGGCAAATTGAGCTGTGATTGATTGAGTTAGTTTTGTTGGCGCCAGCTAGTACTTGTCTAGTACCCAGGATCCAGGTCCTATTCTAAAAACTTATCTTAACTCAAATTCTGCTGTTATCTTTCTCTGCCAATGAAATCCTGCGGAGCCTCGGCGTGCTTGAGCCAGAATTTTTCCATGGCGTCCCATAATCACCATGTCCGGATGGTAACTGAAATGTTGCCAATCCTGAGGATTTACATCCAATGAAAAGACGTGTAAGAGCTGTTGAAGTGGCAACGGCAACAAAATATAGCCAATAGACTCGTAGACATATGAAAATGTGAAAATTCAAGATCACGCTGAGCCAGAATAATCTGGCCAGCTGATCTTAGAATTTGGCGTAGTGGCTGTATTGACCACTACGTCACAATACACGATGAGACTTCGCATGGGTAGTGAGTTCGATCGTAAGCAAAATGACTCCCATTCAAGTCTGGCTTGATTAAAGCGCTGAACTCCACTAATCCACTTGGCCCAAATGTATCAAAAACTACAATACTAATGATGGGCGGTTTTTACCCTGAACCTTTGGATTTAGTATCTCAAGGTGATGAAGGTAGTAAAAAAAATGAAGTTTTGTGCTGAAGTCTATCGAAAGATCGGATACGACTGGCAGAACAGGCCGGTCATTTTTAAATCTCGAATACACATTGACGCACTTGGCTCAATTGTGCGTCGAATGCAAGCCACGGTATTCCGATATTTCATGGGTAGCAAAGACCCATGTGCGACTCGCAGCATGCTATTGCGGTGATATACGCTTTATAATAGCTTGATGCTGTGGTTGGATAAAAACGCTTTGCTCGCGCTCTTTTCCGCGCAATGTCTTTAAAAGCCAATATGAAGGTGGTAGATATATTGGTTGAATTTATCACCATACGCACCTTATTTAATGAGTACATATATGGTACGATATTTTGGCGATTAAGTATCACAAAAATCTTGATACGGATGTGGAGGATGGAACTTCAGAAAAGAGAGTTTGTCGGATACGTGGCTGCTAGCGCACGCTATAAAGCACACTGTTTTATTGCTGATAGTAAATCAGATATGTTTTGTACGAGCTTAAGACCGCATATAGTATCGAAAAGCAAAGCAAGTATTTAGTTACCTTATCGTCTGCATGTTTATTTACGCGAGTTTCTGGTGCACCACACAAAGCTCACCGCAATTGGACAATCGTTCATCTGGGTAGCTTAAATGTGGAGGCGTCTTTTGCGCAGTGTAAGTTCAAATTGATTATCGCCGCAAAAGATGAGTAAAACCAATCTTAGAAAAGCCTTTTGCAAACGCATCATGGAAATTTGACGTTTACTACGTATTCATTTAACACTGATCAAGAATAACCGAGTGATGCTCAGCATAAGAAGTCACATCCGGCGTTTCTTCGGTCGTGTTATGTACCGCGCGAAGAAAGATGAATAGCCAGAGTATTTTATTTTAAATTGATTTTCTGGCATTAGAATCCACGAGACATTCTCAACCACATCAACGCCCTGTGCTTTGAGAAACTGGACACGCGGGCGCAGAATGCGACTTTCACTTCGCGTGACGAACCTCATACATTGTACTAGTCGCTCTTTTGTATAGCCAACCGACAGCAAAAAGTTGTAAGATCGGCGCAAACTGCTTACTTTGTGCATCACAATGCGAGAGTTTGAAATTAAAGCCTGAACACCTGCCATTGGGCCAAACATGTCATCAAGTGTATCGACAGTTTCCTTGATTCGCGTCGTTTTCAAGCCGAGATACTGAGGTACTCTCGTTGTGATAGCTGGAACTTGCTCCGAAGGAACACCTAGTTTTTCCAAATAATGCACAGCGGCCTGCATCTTTTCGACACTATAAGCCAGCACTTGCGGAGCCATTCTCAGGATACGCGCGATTTGATCATTTTCGCAGCCAAGCCCTTTGAAAAATTCAACTTTCGTGTTCAATTTCTCGAGGCTGAAAGCTACACCCCCTGGAAACACTTTGAAAACATAGACCATCTAAACCACATGAAGTTAATCACATATAAATCAGTAGCCATCAAGCTACTCCGTACTTTGTGCTTTGGCACCCCGTGGTCAGTATACCATCTGACAAGATTTTCATGCTTTTCCAATGCAGATCCTAAAATGCTAGGTTGGCGCACAATAATAGTGTTGATGTTGTCCTGGCTGAGACCTAAGTTACTCAACCAATTGATCTATCAGTTTTACAGAGACAATAATTGTTACTCATTATTTACATGGTGACTTTCATAATAGCCCGTACTTTGCGTTCCATCATTTCTGGCGAGTAGCGTGTGATCTGAACCAATTAATAAGCTCTTGTATTGTTTCGTGAAAGATTGCCGACAATGAGATCTTACCATGACATGATGAGAAATAGCACGTAATGCTTGTGTATGGCTGAGACCTCGTATTGTCAGGTAGCGAGTTGTTCGGTCCACTGCCTCCATGGAAAGTGGCCCAATTTGCGATGGGTATTTGCGTGAAAATCGTGCGTAGTACGCTGATTCCTGCCTGCGTATAGCCACAGCATCCTCTAGGGGCCTCTTCGAAGTGGAGCTTGAGCTTCGTTTGAGTGCTAAGAGCGGTTGATAGAAACGTAGCAGTCGAAGCATTTCTGTCGAGTACAATATTTTATGATTTGCCACCCAAAGTACCGAAAAACCGGATATCTACAGCACGAAATCCAAGTGTGCAATGCCCCAACTCAACGTCACTTTACTGCGCGCCAATAACCTGCCTGTGGCTGACACATTTATTCAGGGAAACGCAAGCGATCCCTTCGTGACTTTTCAGCTAGGTGATGAGTATTTGCGCTCGTCCTGCATTAACGATGCGCTAAATCCTGTATGGCAGCCGGCGGAGACATTCGAGTTTGAGGTGCCGCATACGTCACGAATCTCTGAGAGCCAGCTGCTTATTCAAGTGGTGGACAATGACCGTTTTAAGATTGATGATTTACTGGGGGAGTTGCAACTACCGCTGTCCACATATGTACGACGCCCCAATGAAGGCGTGGTAGAAACCTACGAGCTTTCAGTGCCGGAAACGTTAAAGTCTACATGTAAGAACCCCGACACAAAGTCGACAATCCATTTGGATATTTGCTTTCTGGATGAGACGGATGGACAAAAAACGTTGTGTGTCTGGGAGAATGAAGATTACGTGGATGGTAAGTGGATGCCCGCGCACAATAACGAGCGTCGTCATTGGAGCACCTTCGACCTACAGACTTCTTCAGACAACTTTGATGACGTGGCCCCAGACATTCCAGAAGGTCTTGAAGGATCAGGGTGGGCCTATTCTACTAAGAAGGGAGATGATCATGGATGGATATACGCATCAACCTACACAGGACCCTGGTCGTCAACATCCTTCGCCACATGTTATGCTCGTCGTCGACTATGGCAAAACCATTGCAGGCCAGCCGTGGCTTGTGAGTGAAGGTAGAGAAGAAATGAATAGCATGAGACAATGGCATCCATAAGAGTTAGAAGAACTTCGTGATTTTGATGAAGATGGAGATTCATCGGGTATCCGAGAAGTTTGATGTCATTATGCAAATGTTAGATAAATAATACTGTTAATATTTGATCTTCAGCTTTTGATTTTCGAAATTAAAAAAGCACTTTTATGGTAACACAGTTATCAAAGTAGTATGTTGAAGCTGGCTATGGTATTCGTATGAGCTTTTCCTTCCTTTTTAAAGAACGTTTCTGCTCAGATCTGATCCCATCACGACGCTCGAGAGTCCACTTACCTTACTTCATGCAGCTCTCCCTGTCCATGATGTGGGCATCAGTACGAGCACTATATATGCTTCTATTACTTATGAATCAGACGCGCCACACAATCATTTTTGCTACCTCAAGCGCCAAAGGTGCCAAAAGTGTTGTCTTCTCTCTCTCGGGTCGTTTCAATCCGGTGACTGGCTCTGTCTTATTTCCGTCTTCTGCATTGTCGACGACGCAATTATCAGCTTCTAAGACATCGATGGAGATTCGAGAGGAAGACTTCTCTTTTCAAGGTGTGCAGACGTGTGTGTGTGTGTGGTGTCGTCGCTTTAAAGCTTCACTCACAGGCTTGTATTCATCGTATTGCATGATGTTGTACATGCATTGTGGCTGTAGATGGCGCAAAGGAGCGACCAAGCGTTCAAGTGGTGACAAAAGACGTGAAAACAGCTGATATTTTTTCCGTCATGCAAGGTACGGACGCTTGATTGGCGTGATGTAGTGCAATATAATGATGCACTATACGCTGTTGCACTGTGCATGGGCTTAGTTATTGGAAGCGAAGAGGAGATTGCCACTGAGCATGGAACGTCTTGGTGGAAGGATGCAGTGACAGAGAATTTTAACAGGCTGGACGTCATTGTCCTGGCGCTTATCGCAATCTTTATATTAAGAGTGGTTGTGTTTGTGCTCCAAATAACGTGGAAGCTTATGATACTTCCATTCCAATGGTACAACACGCAGAAAGGGGAGGAAGGGAATGAAATGGATACAAGTCATGAAGCGATAGCGATCCAATTAAGAAGACAATTAAAGGTCGTGCGCTTTTGTCACCTGCAATTTTTACTTGTGATCGAGAAATTAAAGCGCGAAATGAAAGACGAAGCAAGTGATAATACACAGCAAATGGTAGCGGAACTGATTTTACCTCATTACACCAAGGGTACTAAGGCGACACTGACGGACATTTTGGCGACAGTGCAGAGTATTCAGACCAAGGATCGCACTTTCGGAGCGTTAGAGATTGAAAATCTTTTGATTGATATCAATCAAGATGCAACTGATGAAGAGGATGTCGAGTTTGGCCTACCGCAAGCTTGGAAGCAATTATACGAGACTTATGCATCATTTGTACGCATCCAGGCAACAATTCTTCGTCGGCAAAACAGTAAGAAAGGTTGGCAATTGCAGCAGCATCATGAAAAGACCTCTGGATGGCGCAAGCATCGACCGTCAAGTAATGATGACTTAACGGATGAAGTTTTACAAGAGCTACATCAGTTGACAAAAGAGCTGCCACAAGGATTTACTGCCGATATGTTTACGTCGCTGGGCAATGCAATGCATAAAAAAGAGGTAGCATCTGAGCCTGAGATCAGTCCTGCGTCTTCTCAAGTGATTAACGCTGATCGTTCACGTATATCAATTGTAGCGTCTATACCAAAAGCTGCTCAGTACAGCGCTACGGCGCAGAAAGCGGCATAATGAGTGGGTGGATATCAAATTATCATAGTAGAACGTTAATAAGAGACCAATTACTGTATTATAGTATTTTATCGCAAGCTTTTTGGTCAGTTACAGTCTTTGACGACTTGAACATCACCAGTCACTGAGTTATTCACTCGTTTCAGTGTCTATTCTGAAACCAACACAATAATGGGTCTCATGTTGGGAGTTTTGGCCGCGGGATGGTTCTGAGAAACAACTTGATGGAATCAGGTTCTGCCCGACACTTCGACTTGGTGCTCAAAAGACGCATGATGCCGGCACGAGCACAACTTCGATGCCGGTTAGGATACAACGCTGCTAAGATGAGCTGCATACGGTGGTTACTAGTTGTCACTTTCCTCCTGCTCACCGCCAGCGACGCACGACGTGCGGTAGCTGAGCGCTCGCATCGTACGTGATCTTTCATTTGCCACGAAGTCTCGTCAATGATCTCATCGCAATCTTTACTCATGCTCTATTTTTAAATAGCTTATCGTCGAGTGGAAATTCGCGTAGAAGATTTCTCATTTTCGGATGGTCCTGAGGAGAAGCAACAGGTTTCGATTGAAGCTCAAGATATCAAAAGCTCAGAAGTGCAGCCATGGCCAGAAAAAGATATTCACGTTGTGACATGGGAGGCAACAGACGAGATCTTGAACACTGAGATCAAATCGGAGAAGAAGGACAAGTCTAAGCTGCCAGCTGTAGCTGAGGAAGATGAGGTCGTCGACTTGGCAGTGCAGGCAGCTCTTGCTAGAGCTAAGGGTGACGCAGCATTAGAGCGATACGTGTCGTACCGCACAGCAGTGTGGTGGTGGAGAGAGGACAAGACCGAGCTTACGACACAGGAACAAGCCGCCGTGTTGGCTGTGGTCGTGGCCATGTTATTGGTCTTTGGTCTTATTACTGCTTTGCTGTGGAATGTCGGCTGGTACGTGTGGCGTTTTTATTGTGAACGCCGTACATTGAGTAAGCTTTTTAATGAAGATGACCCCGCAAAGCTAGAGCAAGCTATATGCAAATTTCCTGCCGAAATTTTATCCTTAAGAATTAAGCAAATTGCCTGTGTCAGGCTAAGACACGTACAAGTATTGTGTAACGCAAGAGAGTTTAAGCAGCAACTTGAAGCGGTGACATTTAACGAATTAACTATGGAACTTCGAAATATGCCGCTTCATCCGACGACGAAGAAGGACATGACGTTTGCAGAAATCATGACTACTGTGGAGGAAATTGCATGCAGAGGAGAACAGGTTGCAGTTGAGATGATGCAGTTAGTAGTCCCTTCACGTTGGAAGAGATACGTGAACGAAGATTTGTGGCTTCATGCGCAGGATGAATGCTTACAAAGTTTGCATTTGGAAAATGCTCGCGTCCAACAATATTCCGAACAAATATCTGAAGTAATCGTGAGCAAAATGAACTCGAGTAAATCTCTTCCAAAATCAGTTTTCCTTCAATTGCTTGCGTCACTTCGTCCAAATTCTGGAACGCCTCCACAAAATGTGGCTAACGGAAATGCGACGTCAAGCGAGCTGGACGCGTTTGCTAGGTGCTGGAGTGGAAGCATGACAATGAGTGGGAGTGTAAGCAATTTGGGAGGAGGACTCAAAGACAAAGACGAATTTGGTTTTTTGCTGAAGGCATTTGAGGAGAAAGCCGAGCAACAGAAGATTCAGCAGGAACTACATAGTGCCATCGAGAGCTTTCAGTCAGCACACGAACCAGAACACGAGCAGTTGTTATTGCTCGAAAATACTAAGACCTCAAGTAATAATCAACTTATTCAGCGGACCACACAGCTTGGTGCAGCGACAGCTGCAAGTAGTGGCGCAAGTGCAGCGTCCATGCGTCGGTTAGAGCGCTGGGTGGACCAAGCTGAAGTGATGGAGATGACCTACGTGGACGAGGTAGAAAGTGCGCAGTTTCTGCTGGAAGATGCCCGACGTGACAGCTTCTGCGCAGCCATTGTCAGTAATGAAGGCAAAGGACTTGATAGCGTCCAGACGCTGGCAACAAATTTTGTGGCACTAGGAGCCAAACGAGAAGACGCAATATTGAAAGCTGGTGAGATCTTAGCGAATCGCTCGAATATGATGCTTTTAGTCAATAGTCTTCGTGGTATGTTTGATCAGCTTCGCAAGCGTGATATCATGAAGATGAATGAGCGTCGAAATCGTGATCGTATTAAAGCGCAAAACAAACGCGACCGCTTGACTCAAAAGTTTTTTAACAAACAACGATTGATTGCTGAGAAAATTGATCGAACTCGCGAAGCACAGCGACAACGCGAAGAAGAAGCGCGTTTGCAAAGACGAATGGAGGAGCTAAACGAATCGCGTGCACAGCATGCGCGAGATCGGGCAACTTTCGTGTGGAAAATCACGAAAATTGATGTACTTGTCGTGCTTGTCATCATGTCGATCGTTTTCTTCGAAAACGTGCGAGAAGTGGCGTTTGTGAAGCCATTGTGCCAACCGAACGAGGAGCACCATTGGTGGATGGTATCGTGGTGGGCTCCAACGTCCATGCAGATTTTCGGTTGTGAAGTGGCTTATGGCATTAAGATTTTAGGTATCCTCGCTGCGCTCGGTGTTCTTTTTTTCGTGGTGGCACAATTAAATCTCGTGGCTATTATGCTCCCTGTAATTGGTGGTATCGCTTTATACTTTGTGCGTGACGAGTGGATGAATATGCTCTTTCGTCTTCCATTGTTGCTGGTTATTTACGGATTCAACATGGGTGTCTTGTATCTCTTCAATCGCTTTGAAGACCACAGCAAAGACGATCATGTGATTAAGGGCGATAGCAAAAAAGCAATAATTCATGCTACTAAGCAGCGGAGAATGTTGCTATACGTTGTGTTTCCGCTTATCTCACTTTTCCTCACACTGGTGACGGGTATCGGCATCGCTTGTGATGCTCCAGATCAGTGCGTCGTAACAGCATATGCGGCCGTTTTGCCTGTAGTTGCAGGTTTGTGGGAACTTATACGTGGTGCTTATGGATTGTAGAATTCTTGAAAGGTAGAAAGGACAACTTTAAAATACCGTACGATATTGACCAAGAAATTTCAAAATTAAAATGTGCATTGCTACAATATATAATCAAGTATGACGACGGTTTATGTCTCTTCGAGGTATCCCCTTCAATTTGAACACGATAAGAAGCAGTCGCCGACTATTTGATTGACAACATCCACCCATCACCTTGTGGCGTTTAAGTTATCACAAGTTATTACAACAAGCAGTGTGTATAGATCTCACCGTTGAGACAAAATGACAAAGCTCATCACAGGCAAACCTTTGATGGCTGACACCAGTGGTTATTTCTAGTTTGAAGGCTGATTTCAGATCAGCATAAAAGTGCCACAATGACATACATTGTTTATACATGACAGGCAGCACTCACGCAAAAGACACTTCGCAAAGCACCGCTCCCACTAAATTTATATAAGCAGACCAAGCGCTAACGAAAAGTATACTTTCATTGATTTATTTTTCAATATTGCTGTATTAGTCCTTTCATAAATTTCCCTTTGTTGAAATAGATGTATTCAATATTTTATGAGCATTTATTGTAGCATTAAGAACCT